ATGGTTGTACGGCAGTGAAGCATCGGTGTTGAACACTGACGTCATGCTGTCGATGGTGATAATGATGGCTGGTTTTTAGGCCAATTGCTGGAAAACTACTCATGTGCTTACTGAAAACTCTTCGATAGCCCAAGGCTTGTTCAGTCTTTCATGGGGCTTATCAGGTAGATGTAGTCCCCAAGCCTCCGTAATTTGCACAAAATCCGCGAAGTACGCATATGTGATATCTCGAATATCATACCAACGGAAATTTGAATCGGTCTTCATGCTGTACATTCAGTTGACGAATATCATAAGCGAGATATTTAGCTGGGCTTCACTTAAGTCTCGCTGTTCATTGACTAAATCTGTCATTTCCGTCCGTTACATCATGCAGGTTTCAGTGCCTCATAGTTTTCCTGTATTTCTTATTTCTAGCCGAGATCAAGGACACATCTTTCTGTTTCTCGGAATTGTGATGCTCATCGTCCAAGGTAGGTCGAGGGATTTTGCTTGCTGAAGCATTACGAGAATGTTAATCGATGTCGGTGGCGTTCATGTTGTCAGTTTCTTTTCGGATCAAGGGTGTGAGCACCTCAGAATGTTTGATATAGATCTCTCTCTGTCTCGCCCGCTCTTTCCTTTTCACTTTAAGGCTCTAGTTGAATAAACTTTGATTGTAAGTATCGACGCTTGCTTGCTGAAGCATTACGAGAATGTTAATCGATGTCGGTGGCGTTCATGTTGTCAGTTTCTTTTCGGATCAAGGGTGTGAGCACCTCAGAATGTTTGATATAGATCTCTCTCTGTCTCGCCCGCTCTTTCCTTTTCACTTTAAGGCTCTAGTTGAATAAACTTTGATTGTAAGTATCGACGCGTCAGTGTGAACACTGATGTTGCTGTCTCATGATGATGGTGATGATGATAACTGAAAATTCCATTCTTCTTTTAATCCCAGGAGGCTTGGTTCACCGATTCCGACACGGGAATGAAGCAAAAGTCAGTAGCCTGGTAAGTTTCGGATGTTGTGCCGTACGCTGCCCGTTCATTTAACGCTCGCTGTGTTCGCATTCTCAACCACCACTGTCAGTTGTTTTTAATGTGGCTACGAACACTTCACTATGTACACGTGGCCCTCTCCAGCGCACGTAGGACGCAACGTTTTGAATGCTAATGAACCTAGGCCAACACAACCTAAGCATTCTGTTAGATCAATAGTAATTAATGATAAGTATACATAGTGTCTTGTCATTATCCGGCTGGTTGTAGTACGTGTTCGGACAGAATCCAAAAAGATATCTAGTTTCAATCGAATGCATCTTGGACAGCTTCCAATTTTGGGGATTTTTCATTTGCTTACCTGGTTGCAATAAGTTGGCATTTGTTTCACAGAGACACTCGAACCATTAAAATTGGTTTTTATTGTACGTATTCTTGTATTTCTACTGATACTATGCGAATGAACTCTGAAGGTTTGCTGCCAACGGAAAGTCTCTGAAGTGAGAACTGGAAACGTGGTAAAGATCCTGTTCTGAGAATGATCCGTCGGGCCATGAAAATTTGCACATGAGGAATCACTGTTATGGGCACGTTGTGCCCTTTTTGCGTAGTTGCCCTGACATCTGACTACCATCTGCACACAGTGGTCTCTCTCAATGGGGATGACCTCTAGGGTCTGGTCAGATCCTTCTTGAATAGTCCGTCCTTAGGGAGGAAGTGATTAATGAATCCCGTTCTATGCACAACCACGTGAAGGGTGGAAGAGAGCCAGGGGCGGTCAAACAATGACCTGGCAGCGAAGTAGAAAAGCCGATACCAGCAAACTCAGCTGCGTTGGTCACTGTCGTCTTCCAGGATGGGGACCCCGAGACGGGCCACATCAATGGCTAGAGACATTGTCAGACATGGCCCAGTCGCGCCCTCAATGGTGCTCATGCATCCAAGCTATTGCCTTCAATGCATAGCTCCCTTCCCAATCCCCCAACATAACAGTCCACCTACAGTGCTGTATTTACGCACTAATTTATCAGCTCCCGCCTCCAATGGTCATCTATCTATCCCACCCCGAATTATCGGTGAACGGAACAGTGGCAGCTACAACCACTGTACGACAAGTACGCGGTTATTACAGCTGGCAACGATGATGATGGTGATGTTTTATGCAATAACTGAATGAAACCCTTTGCGAATTTCGTATTGTTGCGTATCTGTTTGATCCCATTTCAAATGTAATTATCGTAGAATAGACAATAAACATTATATGTATCGAGGTATCTAAATGCCCAATCTCTTCCGGAATCACGTTACTTGAAGCGGTTACCATGTGACTTTCCACTGCGTCACCTTCCTATGGTCTGTATGGTTGGTCATTCTCAGATTTGCTATGTAAAGATTGTCGTTTACCTCCCTGAGAAACCAAAGCTAGTATGACCAAATGTCATATTTCTCTGATGGGATACAATCCACCAATGGGCAGCATTAATTTCCTCCACGTTGTTGTGTATGTCGGTGTTCCACACCGGACGAATCCCGACTAACCTGTCGTCATCTTGGTGTTTTTCCACGTTTGCGTTGTCAATTGCGAGTAATTCACTCGCTTTTTCCTTAATGATACGACAAGTGAAAAAGTGTGCTACCTAAGTTGAGTAATTTTTGACAATACTGTAGTCTTTACGTCAGTGCCCACTTATGGCTTCTCATTAACTCGGAATTATCCTGGGACGTCTTTTCGACCGATGGGAGCGATCTTTATCGCTGCATTGTGGAACAGAAATATCTTATTTCTCGCGAGGGTTGTCAAGAGACCTGGACTCGAAAGCCACGCAACCGAGTTTCTGTTGAGGAGAATGTTGTTGGCTCCAGTAGCTCAGCTGTCATGCTTGCATAGCAGTGTTCGAAATATGCTCCTGAAGTCGCCAGAGGAGGTAACACTTTGATTTTGAATGTGCCCTATCTGAATGCAAATCAATTCTCTTTGCAAACAGTATTCGCACTTGCCGATTTCTGGAGAGTTTAGTCCCGATTTTGGCGGCATTAAGACTAAGATTTCCGAAGTTCCTTAGTTCCTTTCAGGAGATCTACTGGTAAATTTCGCCGAACCAGGACAGGGGTCCTTTTAGGGTTGAGGTCCCTATCGTTTGGGACTACATCGGAGGGGACCATCATATTACATGAAGTTTCACACAGTTATATAATACAGAGACTTTTGTCGCCTTCAGTTCAAACTCTGATCGTTATTGCATTTTTCGGCACAACTATCTGTTTAGCTGATACAGGATGCGGAAGATCTAGTACCCTACGATTCCGTTACACAGGTGAAATTTTGCTAGGCAGAAGTTGACAATTACTTTTATAGCTGGGGCAACTGAAGAACAAATCAATGAAAGCGTAAGAGGCAGTTGGGTGACCGAGAAGTCTAATATTGGACGGGGCCATGGGTGAATTAGCCCAGTGGACTAAGTGAAAGATTACTCATTCCCTGATATTCAGGATAAGTAGGCTTAATTGTGCGTATGACGCTGCAGAGGTCAGAGAGGAAATGAAAGGTAGTAGCGAAAGCAATGGACGCATCAGGTCACAATGGTAGCAAAGAGGGTTGAAACGTGATAGAGACGAAGTGGCTTTCATTGGAATTTCTAATGCCATGCGCACTAGAGGTTGAATGAAGAGCCCCAGGCTCACCCAGTTGCAGCAGAATTTCACCACTAGGAAATCGTACTGCCAGAATCTGGAAAACACAGTAAAAGCGAGAGGCTTTGGTAGTGAAATTTGCATTCGGTGTATAAATAAGGTAAAACAGCTGTGAACATGTTATGTGGCTTTCTTATGTTTAATTGCTGTCCTCGTAAGTCCTGATTTGAGAGACATCCGGAATAGGAACAGTCAGTTCGTGTTTAAATGTTCGCCTACTCATTATGATCTGAGTAGGCTCCCTCGGTCGATTGATACTAGTCAGATGTTGCCCTAACGGAACGAACTGGTTACCGGTGGATATTCGGATACCATCTTCTTCTTATCATCAATTGCCCCGGGAAATACGTGGACTTGGTGTTCATCCGCACTCCGAAAAGTAAAGCCATACGAAGACATTCACCCCTAACTTCAGTCACTCTGAACTTGTTTTCTCTGCTACACCTTTTATCTTCATTTTCATTTTTGTGATTCTGTGGGTGCATACTGGTTAAATGACAGCGCATACAAGCAAAGTACTACTAACGTGACACGTGTGACTTCGAAACCATCCTCATGTGTGACTACTTGTGAGGTGTCTTGGTGACAAAGTGCTGTCGGGAAGGTTGAGGCAACGTATCCCCTCACTGATTGCCTCAAGCTGTTTCCCGCTGTATCTGTCATTCTGGTCCTCTGTTTTTTGTCACCCATAACACTATCCTATCTGGGTAACACAACCAGTTAAACTATCTCCTGTTTGGTTACCGATCAAGGGTGCAACACTTTCTAAACAATTGCAGGATGACTGAAGACAGCTTAGTTCCCCATTCATTTTGCTAACAGAACAGTGCGGAAACATTAAAAAAAAGCACGATAGGAATATGCGATTGTCCATAACGATTCAGTTGTTCTTTTTTGGACAAAGCGACTCGCCCAATGATAATGTTCATTCTAAGCATCGACGAAATGAAAAAAAATTAAGGAAGAAAACTATCACTGTGCTGTTCCGTAATGAAGCAAAATCTAGTGTCACGGTCTAGCGAAATGATTCAATCCTTCAATTTTAAACAGAATTCTGGAGGTTGGTCATTTGTCATTGGTTTTAACTTTGTGTATGTAGTTTGTCATCGCTACGTCTATGAAAAAATCTTTCCTCTGGGGATAAGGAGCAGCATCACGAATTTCTGTAGGTCGTTAGATGAAACCTTGAGCCATCGTTATAGAACTGCACTCGATGCCATGATGATTCTCTGGTGTCATCGTCACGTACAGCAATGCAAACTTTGTCGTTCATCAACCGACGAAGTACGGAGATTATATGGACGGCATACCAAACCAACATATGCGCTCCGACTTGCGGTGGCTGTGCCGCTGGGGTTTTAATTTTCAATTTCATAGAGACTGGGCGTTTTCAAGTTCAGCCAGCAAATTTCTGCAGGGATTCAGGCACATCTGTTGTTGGGTCTGTGTTGTAGCGCCTTAGTCGCTTCAGGAGAAACTTCAACTATGAACCCTCTAAGGAATAGTTTCGGTAACGTAATATAAAAGCTCGTTGTTACGAAAGCCACCGCTGATAAAAGTGTTAGTCTAACATGACTTAGGTCACGGCAAAACAGCTGTTTCGCCGTGCTTTCTGTTAGCAGGGGTATCCTAGGAGTCTATTCGGCGGAATATTTGATGTGATGGAGTCGGTGTACATCATGTGAGTGTTCGTTCGTGGGAAGTACCGCTCACTGGGTGAGAAGGGTACATCACCTCGATCAGGTCATCCATTACCTACTGGTGATCCACATTTCTTCTGCAATAAACTTTCCTTGGAAAGGAAATGATGCTAAATTCACACATTCATATGGATGGTCGCATCGAATCACATTTGCTTTGTGTTCAAGTACTCGAATAAAGTGAAACAATGAAGGATGATGCCACAAAAGTCCATTCTGCTGGTAGAATTGCGTGCATAACATTTGCCAAACATCTGTTGCTCTTCTCGGTAACTACGATCGCCCCATACTACTTGCCTGTTTTTGGCATCTTTTTGGAGGGGTATCATACATGGAACAATCGCTGGTCTTGTTGGTTGGTGTATCCAGGGCGTTACTAGCCTTGCTTTTGGCCAGCCATTAACTACTTTTGAAAAAACCGAATGAATATTCTGTCCTTCGGTAGCAACTTGCATTTTTCTAGTCCACCGAACGGTCCATCCACCGTCTCTAATCTCCGCGCCCTCTGGTAATCCAGTCGTAGACGAGCTCTGTCTTATTTGTATTTAACAGAGCCATCGCCTTGTACCGATAAACCATCGAATACTTGCCCGTATCACTTCTCAACGAATGTACTCTTACACCTCATCCAGTCTACATGATATTTCCAACTTACTTTCAGGCAATTTTTGTACTTGCGCTGGCAGCATTGATTATTGGAACTGCACAGCTGTGGTGGGTATTCTATATTGGGCTGGCATTCTGGGGATTTTCGTCCGCTTCATTCATGCCCACATTCAATGGAATGGTGTCATTACAGACAGGCCCGGAACGACAGGTATGTCTGTGTTGGAATGGTTGCCCTTTCATTCTGCTGTTCGCCGATCTGTTTGAAATTACTTTTGGTTATCGTGGATGAGAGCAGATTAATGAGTATCCTGTTCATGTTGTGTAATTCTTTCAAATCGCACACCGCCTTTTTCCACCTTATTGGAAGTTGGTTATCCTCCGGTACTTGGACATGAGGTACACAGAACAGATCCACCCTTTCACGAGTTGTGGTAAAACGCTCAGATGACTTTTGCTATTAACTAAACTGTGAACTTCATTAGCACCATATCAGTTAGACGAGCGTTTTCGTAACTTTCACCCAAGGTAAATCCGATTGCACGTGACTGATCAGTTTCGGATTTTTCAACTTTTGAGGGACAAACGCAAGGACAATTTCTGGGTGAACTGGACAGTTGTGCCAGTGATCATATCCAGGTCCAGATATTGTATCCCTTAGTGAATACTCGAGTCGGGTGAAAGGAGTGGACTTAAATACAATCTGGTTACGTTACTCTCGTCGCTACTGTTAGTTCTACAACAAACTGGCTGGTTGAGCAAGGAATTATAAATGCTTTCTAGTGTTATTCACATTTACATGATGGTTTCCATGTAGACAGCTGCTACAGTGCTCTCACTGGACCATCTGAGATAATCTTTGCAGACCCTTTAAGATAAACATCTTACTGCTCGACCGATGTACTCTATTGCACGGTAAAACAAAGCAGCAGGGGCCTGCCCTTGGGATTCATTGGCGTTGAAATAAAACAGCTTCGCAAAGTGGCCACTGAACATGTTTGTTGTGTTGATTAACATGGTCCCTAGGTGACATAAGCAGACATTAAAAAAACTGCCTTCTCGGACGTGATATGGCCGTCTGACTATTATTCTCTATGAAGTTACTCGGCAGAACCATTCAGATCGCTGTCGAATGAGCAGCCTGAACAGGTCTTGTGTGCTGGCTTAAAAGTTGACGAGATTGCATTAGACTGGAAATTAGCACATTCTCCCGAGCTGAACTGTTGGGATATCGCTTTGATTGGCTTTATCTCATCCTAAGTAGAAACTTAGATGAGGGCCCGAGGTCCGCCACCCGAGCCCAATCAACAATACAGCCATTCGTTATCCGCACTTTACTAGCCCTAGCTTTTCGATATGGCTCCCTGTGTCAGGCTGAAGATACAGTCAAAATGAATTTCAGCCCCTACAGAACCTCCTTGATTTTCAGAACAGCGACGGTGACGAAGTAAAGTATCGAAGCCTCGGTCCGTATTCTACATCCGTACTATTACACATTTATTGCACTACCTTCTTCCACTTAGGACGTTTTCAGCGATCAGGAAATGATTTGTAGTTGATAAGTTTTACGGCCATCCGCAAGCATCATTTGTCTTTGTTTTGTTTATGAGAACAATATGCTGTTTCCAGTAAGCCTGAGTTTAATTTAATGTAATCCAATTCACGCGACTCTCAGGACACCTGCAATCATTCTCAAGGCTTTCATCGTTAAAATAATTTTAACAAAATGGCCTTTATCATATGCTTGAATGTCCACTATCCGATGGGTGTTTAAGTTGATTATACTGTCGTCATTGTTCAAGCGTTTTAGACCCCCCATATTGGGTGATAATGCAAATCACTGTCGCTGTGCAGAACCAAAACGGTAACGACTGAATTCGAGAGAAATTAATGCAAGTAAATGATAAATAAATCAAGTGCTTTTGCTAAGGCTTGTCTACTTTCTCAACCAAACAACGTAGTGAATGCGGTTTGTGTGGTGAAAGAAAGCTGGTTTAGTTGAGGGAGACGAACATCGGGGAAAAGAACTGACAACGAGGGGTGCTGTAGAAGTCCATCGGGCGTAATAGCGAATGAGGGTATGTGAGTAGACCATGAACTCATATGACAAACCTCATTATCAAATTTGCATACGTACTAAGTTTTTACACGTAAAACGGTGTGACAGGGAGTTAAAATATCCTCGGTTTTTGTATCCAGTTCTTCTCTGTGGAAGGACCTCACGCATGAACACTTGGGATAGTGAGACAATCCATACAACACAGCATCGGCTGTTATGGAGATTTTTAGCCATAACACGGGGTTTCTACTAGTGTATTGTCGGTTGCGAAGTGATGCTCTACTAAAGGGTCCTTTGAAGCAATTATTTGCTCGAGGCAATTCGGTAATGATGGATTTCCCAGTCATTAGAAAGGCTGATTTTATTACCAACCCATCCCTTCCGCAATTTATTTAATTACGTGCAGGTCTGTCTTCCGTTCAGTTCGTCTTTTACACAACCTGATCGTCGATTCATATTGCTCACTATAATGCACCATTCATGACTACCTTTGTACAGTTCATCTCAGAGGATTTCACCTTCTAAATCGGCAATGTTCTATCTTCTGGGTTGTAAGTTTTGTAGGCGAGAGATGAGGTAGCAACGGACTTGGTGAGGCATCGTAGTTCGATACCCATACTCCAAGCAATCCAGGAATAGTTCTTTGTGCCTATGTTTTAGACTATAAGAACTTGGAATCTTATCACTTGCGTTTATATCGACTTCAAGAACTGCTGGAGACATTCGTCCGTCAACTCATGTTTGTGAGGTCCCACTCTAGTTTGAGATAAAAAACAAGCCTCCGAATGATGCAGCTTTTACCCTGTATCGAGTAAGCTCAAATACGTCCGACCATTTTTGAGGTTCATGCACCCATGCGAGACATTTGAGACGCATGTGTACACGTCTGGTACAAAATGATTCCCTTGTGTGAGATCGCTACACACTTTAGTGTGAATGGGGAGCATGCTCGACTGACATTCTCGTAGGTCACGTCCCGTAACATTGACGGTTTTCCTTACCTCTTGACGAGTACCATGCGAATAAAAGTGCAAGTGCATCACCGAACTGTACGTAACAGGCGAAGTACCCTCACTTGCAAGCTGGGTTGATTTTATCGGGAGACTCAAATGGTTCCCTGCTTGATATCGTGTTCATAATACTCTTCGACTGTGTTGCACAGGAGCTGCCTCATGTTTTAGTTGGTACGGTATTCGCGATATCGCTGCATATCTTCATAAGGTCGATGAAAACTACGACAACCCACTAATAGCTTTGCTATTCTCGAGGATCGTCATGTAGACTTAGTCCGTGAGCTCCCATCAACCATTTGCCGAGCTGTAGAATGTTGGTGAAATACATTCATTAGCGAATTACTTCATGAGATACCACTGAATCTTTGGTCTACTTGGCGTTATCAAGGTTGTTGCTTTTAAGGCCTGTTCGGCAAAACACCGCTTAAACAATTGTAATACCCATCAATTGAGATCGTCCGATGATAAAAGGTATTTGGCCTCTGCTCGGTGTAAATCACAGTAGACTGGCTGTAGTACACTCTCGAGGTGAGTGGCATCTCATTGGAGGTTAACGTATTCCAAAAGTAATTCAGTGAGATGTTTACGCAACAGTTGGAATTTCACGCTCAAACTCGCATCTGATTCCTCAATCGACCTTTTCTACTCGCAGGGTCAAGTCTTGGGTGTTTTCCGTTCTCTGAATGCGTTGGCACGTGCAGTTGGACCATTTTTGTTTTCCCTGGTGTTTGGAGTTGCTGGACCAACATACAGTTACGTGATCGCGGCTGCATCTTTGATATGTATCGGTGTGCACTACGTCAGAACGAATACGTTGCTGAAACAAAATTGACTGACGGTGCGGTGTCATCTGGCAGACCACTGTCTGTGATCGCTCTTCTTCTATGTTCATCTGCTTTCTGTGTTCGGGTTTTGTGGAGCATGTTGTATTTGAAATAAACATGAGTTTCAATTTTTTAAACGGTTTGGTTTCGTGACCTACTGGTCTTGTTACGCTCAAATTAACCTACTCGCTATTTCTCTGTCCTTTCACCTACTTCATTCGCGAAACCGGTGGCAGAAGTGACGGCTAACAACATTCGTAAATTTAATAATTATTCCTGGTGGTCATGCTGCTCCGAGAATTATATATGGAATAGATACGAACCACGCAGCGTGACATCGCTTGCGCGCGAGGACTTTAGTTGGAAGCAGCTGGACTCCTGAGGTAGCAGGCGGTTCGAACATATCACTCGTGATCATGGTTGCTGAAAAGGGCAACGAAGAACCCTGTCCGATACTGTTTTCCTGATGGGTCCGAAATTAAGTACACTGTGCGTTTTAATGCCCAGGGGTGTGGGCTGTAATGAGCGGAGATGAAAATGAACATTTTCTGAATGCCTTTGTTTACTAGACAGCACCATAAAATGGTGCTGGTTCTGCATCAAGAAAGGCTGACTCCGTCGTTTATACAAGAAAATATTGAAGCTATCGTCAATACATCCATGAAGAACTCGGATACAGTCGTAATGACATACTCGAAATGGTGCAGTGTTTAAAGCGTGCATTTATTGGCCGAAAGGTTCATGATTCCAACCCAACACCGGCATCTCCACTGCTCCTGGTTAGGTTTAGGCAGTATCTGAGTCCTCGTACTTCCTTTGAGGCGTATGACATTCATGCACCAAGAGGACGAATGGTTAGTTTTGTTATTGATGGTTTGGGAATTCAACACACCTAGGTTCACGAGACGCACCAGTCAGTTTTTCAGTTCATGAACCGTGCACTGGAGAGCAGTGGTTCCAGCTGCCACACTCATTCACCGAGGGTAATGAGAATAACAGCTATACATTCCTGGCGATGGCCCAAATTAATACACTGACGGAAAATGGATCTGTTTACTCAATATGGTAGCAAGAGAGCTACACAATGAAGGCGAAAGCTTTGCTTCAAGAACGCCGTTCGCTGCGTGACACATGATACACATGTCTAGGATGACCACTAATCACTGGTTTGTCTCGTCCTGCGGTCCCCATCCTGAGAAACGTTGAGTTGTCTGTGTCCGACACAAGGCTAGGCGAAGAGTGCCCTACGAATCGAACAGTCTTTTAGCATATGGCGTAACCTGTGGGTTGTAATTAGCTGATCTACCGAGGGACAGCGGACCTCCCCAGAAACCATCTGGCTTACTGGTCTAATGTTTCCACCGCGCAACGTTTCAGAGGAACCGATGATCAAACAGCCTCCGAAGACCTTCCGCAGGCAACAACCGCGTCTCCGATCCATAACGAAAGATGGATAGGACCGCGGAATTATAATCCTGACAGTCAGGCTGTCACATTGGCACCACAAATGCCGGAGGTTGGCAAACGTTCCCCTGGTTTCCGCAATTCGGAAGGTGACTTCGTCTTTCGCCAGTCCGCCGGGACCTATGCAGCTACTCAGATGAAGAAACCTATCTACCACATCGATTAGCTCAACCACAAACACAATACTTTTGGGTTTGTCCCCACCCAGTCTTGCAGCAGTACTTTACAGATTCGAAACACATCCTGAACTGTGTGGCAGAGTTACTTAGATGACTAAAGTAGTTCGCATTTCTAGAGTTCCATCAAAAGTGTGCAGCGTCATCGGCGTACCCAATTTCCTTGAGCGAACACCTCAAGAGTGTTTCACCACCCCCTCTCCCCCCGAGGTGTCAGAAGCAGGTTAAGGGGACTCAATAAAGGCGTCGATTACGAAGATAGATAGGGCTATAGTGGACACTGTCTGACAATACCGGTTGCGGTAAACCCAGGAATAGACGCGTACATGTTCACGGGAGGCGTATGGAGCCTTCATAAGACAAAAACTTAGGAGGAGTACACTCCAGAGACGGACATACATACGTACGTACCCCCACAATGTCATGATCGTAGTCAATTGGTGTCTTCCACAATAAACGACAATCTTTCACCGATAGGTGATTGCCACATGATCCTATTGAGCCAACAGCTGGAGTCGATCTCCAAGTCATATGGTGAACGCTTGTGCTGAAAATTTATAGTGACAACTGAAAAAGTCGCTCACCGATATCTGTGCGGTGAGCGCCAGGTCTGAATCGGTGCTTAGCAGGCTAACCTGGGTATTCATCACCTGCCCTCTATACTCTCCACTGAGCAAAACAATTGTGACAAACCTCTACAGAACCTCAGGGCTGCCCTCCGTCGAAGCTTATGCTGACACAACAATCAAACACCGTTCATCACGTCGAGACGTAGGGATCTTGACTGAACCTGTCAACCTAGCCGCGCAAACGAGACTATCAAGCGGAATGCAATCTAATAAAGCGCGCTCACCCATGGGCTATGCACAACTCCCGCAACATAGATATCACCAACTGCTGCATTAGAACCACCAGCTACCCGAAGAGTATAGTGTGAAGAGTCTCGATTCGTTTGGTGCAGTTTAAGCGCTGTGACCGGAGTCTTGTAAAAAGGACTGAGCAAGAACTACCTGTTGGCCGATTCGACACAGAGTACTGAAACGTGAGAATACACTAGGGCTGGATGGTTTGTATCCAGCCCTTTCCAAAGAAGGCTGAGAATCCCCGGTGACCAATCTGACAATACTCATTGATACTATACAGAGTGAAGGAGTGCCCGCAGAAAGGGGCATATGGAGTCATATAAAAAGTACGCGGGCGCCGTGAAGGCCACCGTGGGGTTAAACTGGTACCTGTAGCATCGAACTTGCTCTCCAGTCTTATCATTCGAAGTTGAATGAACACAGGGAGAGGCAGACTCGTGAAAATAGAGGTGGGTCCCATCCTGCACGAGGATGCATCAACCACACCTTTCACTCATCAAAAGTACACTGCTTCCAGCAACGAACAAGCGATCTTTCCTGACTTGAAAGCTGTTTTTGATTCTGTAGACCGTCAGACATTATGGCGCAGCTCATGGAACGAAGGTTTCCCCGACAAATTCATGATCCTTCTCAAGGTGCTGCACGCCAACTCCTGCGGATATGTGAAGATCTGAGCACGCCAGATCAGGTGGTGTCAGGCAAGGCCGCCCTTTTTCACCTATCCTCTTAAAGCTCGTTATTTATGGAAAAATCACTCCTAGTCTGTAACGCCTGTGGGGTTGAAATGCTCCCAGGGCACTCCCTCAATGATACCTAGTATGCGGACGACAGCCAATATTGAACCCGACGGCACTGTAATACAAGCGGTGCGAAATAATTACGCAGTTCTGCCTTATGGTTTGGCATTTGCTTTACACTTGCGGAGCGTAGAGTGCTGTTGCAAGACCGGGTGGGCTCAAACCCGTACCTCATACTGGCGAATGAGCCAACTAAGGTAGTAGACAAACTTGCCCACCTGGACCGCTGTATCAGCCCCGGTGGTATAGCGAAAGATGATATTTCCATCCGGATTGAACAGACCAGAGCGGCTTTTGCGAAACTACATCACCCGTGGTGTAGAAGTGGAATAAACCTATCTGTCAAGTTTACCTGTCGAGTATACAATGATGTGGTGCGTTCCATATTGTTATGCATGCAAGAAAACCAGCACGGTGCGCTGAGGACATCAAAAGACCTTCAGAAGAGGATCGCCCAAGTCCGGTAGGAACACCGGATCAGCACTGCTGAAGTAAGTCGAATGGTTTTTGGAGGAGATAAGTCACCCACGATGGATGAACTGATCACACTCCGTAGGTTGTGTTAGTTTGGTCAAGTGCTCCACATACCAGTCGACCAAATTCCTCGAAGGACCCGTTTTGCAGAACAACATGAAGGGTGGAAACGAGCCAGGGGAGGTCAAACAGTGATTTGGCAGCGAAGCATGACAGCCATTAGCAGTAAATTCAGCCACGTTGTTCACTGTTATCTCCCTGGGTGGGGGCCCCGAGACGGGACATCAATGGTTAGAGACAGTCAGATTTGGCCCAGTCGCACGCATCCAAGCTGGTGTCCTCAATCCACAGCTTCTCTTCCCGATTTCCTCAAAGTTCAGGTGGATCACTTATATCAGCTACCGCTTCCAATGCGAAGCTATCAACCCGATGCTCCAAAATCATTGAGGAAAAATGTGGCAGCTATAACCAATATGCGACAAGCACTGGGTTTTTCCTGCAGTACACATTAGAAACGAATGGCTCTGATCAAGTTTTGAAGATCGTTCGACTACTGATTTCAAAAGTGGGGAAACCAGTACATATTTTGCTAGTACCCAATTACCCACGGAATACGACGATAGTAAATGAAGAGAGTAATCAGAAGGGATGAGATGGTTCAAGTGGTTAGACAGCGAATTTACTAACCTGAAGGTCCACGGTTCTAACCTGAACTCGGCCTAGGTTTGGGCAGTATCCGGGCCCTCGTGCTTCCTTCTGGTGGTATGGCAGTTAGGCACCGGAAGGGTGCTACAGCGGGATGATTTTTTATAGAATATAACTAGCAGCTCTAGCGATACAGAGAGTAATCATCATCATCGACAGCATGACATCAGTGTTCAACACCGATGCTTCACTGCCGTACAACCATGACTTATTTGAAAGCCTTATTGTGAAGAAAAGAATAAAGGTGGATGGGGGACGGACTTAGTGCTAGCTTAACACAATCATTCCGAGGTGCCTACACCTCCAAACATTCACCCAGGCAATCTGGATAGAAACTGACAACAGGAACGCCACTGACATCGGTTGGCAGCC